TCAAGTTAGTGTTGTCGCTTAAAAATTTCAGAGTGTATCGGGGGCATTATACGAGTGGTTTCTCCAGATTAGTTGGTTTAAACAAAGCTTTAGATAGAGCTATGTGTTTTCTGTTTAACATTAATATGTTTCCTTTTTGTTTAATGATCATTTCATAGTTAGTTGCTTTCTTGCAAGTGTGCATGTACCCATGTCTTGTTGTTTGTTCCTATGGGTGTTTTCCTAATTTTGTGCAGAGGGTGATGGGACAAAAATTTATGTTAGTTACATTGCGTTCTGGGATCCAGTCAACGAGGATATTGCTGAAGCTTATTGTGTACCTGCAAATTCATTTGTAGATAAGTGTATCTGTCTAGTTTCTCCATCGCCTAGCTTTCGTTTACTTAGGAATACTCTAGAGGAATTATTTTCTTCTGATGTTGATGCACAACCTCATTGTTTTCTTCTTTTTTAGTTGAATGCGTCTGCCTTCTGCTTTTGATGGGTCTAGGAAAATATGTTCCCCTTTACTTGTGCTTCATTTAGTTTTTGTCATTGTGATGACAAATTTTTTACCTTCCAACATTTTCAAAAGAACTTATTTTTTGTTCAAAGATGGAATGCATAATGCTTCCTGTATTTGACTCTTGTTCTAATTTGTGCATGTTTATTGTGCGGAAGCAAGTCTACATTCTGTTACTCTTTTTCAGTGGAGTAGACTATATTGATGCGCCCACGCCATAAATGATGGGTCTCCATTCAGGCGTTGATACATCTACTCTGGCCATCGATGGTGTAAGTTGTTCTGTATAAACTGCTCTTTTGTCAATATATAGTTATTAATTTACATGTGCTGGTTGAACAATATATCTCGTGGTCTTTTATATATGTTATATGGTTGTTAGGTTCCCAACAGCATAGCTTATAAGTTAATAACAATATGTTGAGAAACCTTTGGATTTGATCCTGACCTATATTTGGTCAAAGTAACTATCACAGGAATTCATGGCTGTATATTGTATAATTACTTGGGCTTAGGTTTTCTATTCTTTACAATGTTGCATATCTCTTACAGCTCGCCCTTCTTACCTTCTTTTTGTCTCTATCTCTGTTTTGGTTTCTTTTTCTGTGATTTCTTCTTTCATGTTTTCCACAAGATTGCAAAATCATGATGAAATTTGTAGCATGTAAGAAAGTTAGTGATGTAATATCTGCTTTCTTGCCTTCCCCTTGTGGTTCTAGATAGTTGTTGTTGACCTTGAGTGCAATCATATCACGACGATGGAAGATATACCTCCTATCCCAGAGCCAGAATTAGGCGATTTGCGTGGGGAGATAACAAAATTATTGCATCCCGATGTTGTGGGGTCGGATAAATCAGATGAAGGATGGTTTATATAGTTTGCCTGAGCAATATCCTGAAGGTGTCAACAAACCTTGGGGAGAAGATCATGACCTTCAACCTAGGTGATAGTCGGGTGCCAAGCAAAATAATTATGAAGTATTAGTGAAATAAATGCAGGGGTTCCACTTTTGTTGTAAAACACTGAAAGGGCAATTTTGCCTTGATTTATTTTAAATTTTGTGACCAACTTTGCAGATTATAAGCTTTTCATTATACTTCAACAAACATCAGTGTAGTCATTGTTATTCCCTTCTTTTCTTTTTCTTAAAGTTTAAAGTTTAATGTTGGTGAGGTCTTGAAGCTATGTCTTCCCTTTGAGCTAATGGCTTGTTAGTTGTTTCTTAAGCCCGAATATTTGGAGTGTGTTAAGTATTCACACATATTCTTTGCATTTGATTTCATGTGCAAGTTAGTGTTCTTAAAGTTCTTTGCATCACTTTCAAGTGGCTACCGAAACTTCATAGTATGAAACTTTTTATCTAATTTGATGTGTGAATTGGCCTATTCATTTGTCTTCGTAGTTTCCTTTAAATTTTATTTGGTGGAATTGTGTATTTTTTTTCCCAAGGAAGTTTCTGCTGCTCATGTCTTCAACACTCAAGCATTCTTGACGATGCGGTCTTGGTCAATTGGCCAACCACCAGAACCCTTGGTATTTATGTTCATTGCACCCATCTTTATCTTCGAGATATTGACTCACATTTAGTAATTATTGGTAGATATAATTCCTAGTCGTAATTATAGTAATTGGTATGACTAATGTAGTTATTGATCGTGATTGTAATTGTTGAGACTCTACATATTGCAGAGTTTCTTGCATACCAGTCAAACATGTGTGTTTTTGTGTTGTTGTTGTTGGTTTATTTCAGCAACGTTTTTTCTTTAGTATCATTTTAATCTTCATTTCATGAAATATCTTGTCCGCGGCTCTTCGTGTTGGACTTATTTATTTGTTGGTATTCACAGTTAACACACTTCCTGCATTCCCATGGTTCCATGGATTATCTGGAAAGAGGATTAGGTTCTGACGAAAACACTAATAACCTACTGGACAAGTTACAAGATGCAATTAGAAGAGGCCAGAATCCTATTTCAATTCTTACCTCAAATATTGGCAGTCCTTACAATAATTCTCTTAAGATTCTTGAGGCTGATATTCAGCATGCCAATAATCTGTGAGTGTAACCCCCTTACTTTTTTTTTCCTTTCTAATCTGCTTTTTTCTGTTTATATTGTGTTTTGAAATTGGGTTTGAGAAACGTGAAATAAAAGGCTTCTAACTTTGTACTCTGATATTCAGCATGCCATATTCTACATTTACTATTTTGAGGCTGAATCCTACTCTGCAATATCCAGAAGGGTCAAAATAATGCATGGGTTTCTATTTCTTTATTAATTTTGGTTTTGATTTTGATGGATTGTTACTGCAAAAAATAACTGGGGAAGAAAGAGAGAAAAATAATATAGTTGTTTTGCATTTCAGTATTTTTTTGGTTCTGAAACTAATATCTATTTGCGTATGGACATAATCCGCATACAACGCCTTTTGTTCTTGCTGTCATTGTTATGCTAAATGAATTCCATAATTTGTTGTCATGTTGACCCCAATTCACAAGCTTTGATCTTTATGTGGATAATGAGCATGCTAGGAAGTTTGCAAGTCCTCTGTACATAATCTTGGATATATACTACTGGATTCCCCCTGTTATATTTTATCATTTCATTCTCTTCTGGCTGTAGTTGAACTAATGTTGGGGGTTTGCTGAATATTTGCAATTTTAAAAATGGCCTGAGGTTCAGTCCATAGTTTTAAGAGCACGCCTTCTGGTTCCTTGCTTACCTTGTTTTATGAATTTGTTGCTGACCCTTCGAATGTTTTGCTGAGTTAATAGACCTTTTTTTTTGGTTGATGAAGTTAAGTGACTTTTGATGTTACTTGTATAAATATATGTTTGCAGGGCAGCTTCCATCCCCAGACGCAAGAGTGATACGGTTCTTCAAATGAAATTGGTTTACGATAACTTGGCACCCATTTTCCTGTTTTTGCTTCAATGGATTGATTGCTCCTCTTCGTGTTTTTGATTCGTTGGAGATGAGGAAGCTCTAGAGATGGCTGTTAGGAAGAGATATGAGGATAAGATAAAGCTTTCAGATATAGACTTGGAGAGAGAAAATGAGTGTCGCATCTGCTTGGCACCTCGTACCAAAATGGTTTTGCCAAACTGTTGCCATGCCATGTGCATTATTTGCTACCGCGATTGGTATGAATAATCTAGTTCTTCCTTAATCCCCAAAATAGTTGTTCTTCCATTTTCTGCTTTACTCTCATCCAGTATCACCGGAGAAGTATTTGCATCTTTGCATCTTTATGTGTTATAGGAACACAAGATCGGAATCTTGCCCGTTCTGCCGGGGAAGTATAAAGAGAGTGAATTCAGGGGACTTGTGGGTTCTGACCTGCGGCAGTAATGTACATGTTTTGTGTGAGAGATAAAAATTATATATATCAGAAGAGTCACTTCTTTTGTCATGCAATTTTGATTTTGTGATGGAAATGCTGTCAGGCCATGCAACTCCCATGTTGCATTTAGTGAGGAGTTCTTTTACACAGAGATAACAAATTTTCTTTTTTAACCTTTGTTGGATGATTAAATCCCATGGCACCAAGAGTGCATCATTTCCTTTGTTGAATCTTATTCATTAGCTTTCGATGAGAAATAATTGGTGATTTCGTAGGTTCAATTCCTCCCAAACAATGAATATTTAGAAACAAGTACGATTTGGTGAATAGTTCAACATGTAAATTTTTCACAAGATGTTCTAAATTATGGAAGCCTGAGAAATGTTCTCAAGCAGTAGTAACTAACACCGATTATACCATCTGATTTGTTTTTCTTTTGCTTCATAACTACAATCTACTCAGTTGAGATCACAAGCAACATAGCAAAGTACTAAAACATTAAGCTGATCCAAAGGCAAGCAGTTCATCCGCGACGCAGTTTCATGTCCAACAAGTAACTGAAGCTAGGGTGAGTGGCCTTGCCATTGAGGAACATAACAGTAAGCACCTTGTACATGGCTTCAGTGAGATGAACTCCATCCCAGTTTAAGTACTGGGAAGGGCTTGGACAGGCACTAGCAGACGGTGTGCCACACACGGCAAACACCTCGAAGTTGTAGGGGTCACCTGTCCCACAGCAGGCCTTGAAGCTCTCCTTGAAACCATACTGGTTTGGATTCTTCATGACTGTGAAATAGGCATTCCAGTAATCAGCATAGGTGATGACAGCATGTCGAAACTGTGTCCCGAGTTGTTGCAACTTGGCTTGGAGGACAAGGTTATGGCCATAGGTTTGGTTGTTTGCGCTCTTCACACATCCTATACTGTCTCGGTCGTCTTCGGGAGCTAAGTTCATGGCCAATGGCAAGCACCCTGACATTGGCAGACCTTGGACAACAACATACTTTGCACCCTTCTTTAACAATGCCCTCAAATTTGGTAGAGCCTGAGATTATAACAACCGCAGATACTGATGCTCCCGCATCAGGTGAATTTGATTTGCTGTTTATTTAAGATTGAAAATTATGTCCAGAGAAGAAGATATTACAGATATTAAGCTTCAGATGGTGTTAATTTTTTCCTCATTTTCTATGGATTTTAGGATCAGGTGCCAAATACACATATGATAGGTTTCCCTCCCTAAAAAATTAGCCAGAAGAGCAAGAAGAAAAGAGGGGACAGATGCTTGCTATAGCAAGTGGATTATCCTCTAGGTATATGTAATGTACATGGCAATTTGTTGCAGATGAAAATGAAATCTTATTCATGTTTGTAATTTTCAGTCAGTCTGTCCTGAAAACTATTGGAGACAAATTCAACTTGCATTGATTGACACTAAAATATATATTTTCGTCCAATTAGTGAGTTGGTTATACAATAAAGTCAATCAGATTTTGTTATGCCTGTACTAAGCTTTCATGTATGATAAAAGATTAGATTGAGTTGAAGGGGATATGCATATGATGACATTACCTTGTTCAGTAGAATTGAACTATCACACTGCTATGTTTCTCTACTGCTCTTTCAAATTTTAACTCAGGCAATTTTCAGTAGCGGGTCTAAGCAAAGTGTCAATCAGATGCAGAGTCCATAAATAAATCCTTACATTTCCAGTCTCAATGTGGATATTAAGAAAACCGGAATTTTTCGTCAGCGCAAAAATAGATAGGAATGGTTAGAGAAAGCAACAGACTTCTATTGAGTTACTCCTTGTAATGGGGATAGGCCACATCAGCATTCAGGTGATGATCTTTAGCTTTGGCAACCAATGCCGCTTTCTTGCTGGTAGCTATATTCGCGGCTACTGCAATTTGTCCTTCCCAATTTGTTCCACGAACCAGCTCCTCCACGAAAAGCAATTCCTCGTATTGCTCCACAAATATGCTATCCATTTCTAGCAGGTTCTTCTTACGCAAGGCGATCTCTTCTGCCACCTTCTCACTGGCTTTTCCCTTCAATTTTGGAAGTCGTGTCAGTGCCTTCTTTTTCGTGGAACTAGCTCCGTCACGAAAAAGAAGGCACTGACACGACTTCCAAAATTGAAGGGAAAAGCCAGTGAGAAGGTGGCAGAAGAGATCGCCTTGCGTAAGAAGAACCTGCTAGAAATGGATAGCATATTTGTGGAGCAATACGAGGAATTGCTTTTCGTGGCGGAGCTGGTTCGTGGAACAAATTGGGAAGGACAAATTGCAGTAGCCGCGAATATAGCTACCAGCAAGAATGCGGCATTGGTTGCCAAAGCTAAAGATCATCACCTTAAGGCTGATGTGGCCCCTCCCCATTACAAGGAGTAACTCAATAGAAGTCCGTTGCTTCCTCTAACCACTACTATCTATTTTTGCACTGACGATAAATTCCAAAAAATTCCGGTCCATTCCTATCAACAATGTCAGCCATGGAAACATACCTGCAACAAGAGAGAAAGATAGTTGTATTATAAATATAAAAAATATCGAAACAAATTTGGAACCAATGAATAAATATCATAAGTATACATCAAGTGAGTTTGATAAGACACATTTGGTACCATTAACATGGAAATCCAAACAAACCCAATAAACCAACATGCCAATCCTACCAAAAAAGAAAAATCCAATACCTTCCCAGCATTAGGCCTGGGCACGATTCGGGTCGGGTCAAATTTTGGCCGACCCACGAGCCGAACCAAAGGAGAGCTCGGGTCTCAAATCAAGTCAGGTCTAGAGTGAAACCCGAAATGAAGCCGAACCGAAAATGGGCTCGGTTCTCGGGTCGGTTCTAAGGTTCTGATCGGGTTTGGGCTTGAGCCCATTTTTACCATTTTCTTTAGGGTTCTCAAATTTTTTTAGCAAAACAAAGCCCAAATCAGATTTACATTCAGCCAAAACCCTTTTTTTGTTCACAAATTGCCAAAACCTATTAAATTCTTATGAACAAGCCCAAAACCAATTTTTCAAACAGGCCATCCATTAAAGCCCATTTCGTTTTTTCTCACCCAAATCATATAGATTCAACCTATCTATAACCTGTTTTTTTAAAGTTTCTAAACTGAATCACAATCACAAGCATCATCCAACTATCAAATTAGTTGGTTCTTACATCCCATGACAAAAAATACAAGCAAAGCACCAAATTATATTTTACATCCCATGACAAAAAATACAAGTAAGGCAGCAAATTATATTTTACAACCCATGACAAAAAATACAAATAAAGGAGCTGCAGGTTTGAACAAATGATACTAATGGCATATTATCACTTACCAAACAGATTCACGTGTATAAGGGAGCTGCAAAAAAATACACTTGTTGTATTAGTTAAAAATCACTCACCAGATCATAATCCAACTCAATAGTTAATTTCACCAAAAAAAGAAAGTGTTTGCAGTAACTCTAATTCTATTAATATTGAAGATAGAAGAACACTTCACAGCAACCAAACAAATAAAAATTCATGGCCAAAAAGAAAGAATCTGGAACCCAAGAAAACAAAGAAAAACTCAACCGAAGGATTAGCCACATATTAAAAACACCCTAACTGAAAAGCTTTAGCCACATAGTTTAGAGAATGATTATGGTTCCTCTTCTTCATCATCCTCCATCTACATGAACATTACCCATGAACTCATGTCAGATTAAACCACACGAGAGAAATTATCAAAGAACTAAACCCTTAATAAACCTTAACCCAAAAGAATAAACATGAACCATATCATATGAATTAAACCAAAAATGACAACAACAAAAAATTCAAATAAAATTAAAAGCCTGATTTTGATCAAAGTTGATACCAGAAACAGAAAAGAATCACATAACCCATTACAGATTAAGCCAAAAAAAAATTCACAGGAATTAAAAACTAAGCCAAACCCATCTCAATTCAAAAGCGTCTCTACAAACCCAGAAAATAGAAAATTTCATATAGCTCATCATGTCAGATTGGCAAAGAAAAAAAAAACATAAAATAGATAAGCAAGACCCTTTTATGGTGATTCAAAATGAAACGAGAACTTACAATTATTTAAGGGAGCGTTTCTCGAAGGCACTGAATCAGTAAAGGATAAAAAACACAGAAATTAAACTAAATAACAAGAAATCAAATATCAGAAATCAAACTAAATAATCAGAAACAAAGTCAAGGCTAGCAGCAGAAATCAACATATTAAACACACTCAAAACAAAACAAAAATAAGGTTAGCAACAAATATTTACCTCCATTGAAGCCAAAATTTCAAAACCTTCCATAGATTAACACAGTTCCACCATCGACATGAGATGGAGAGAGACGAGGCAAGACGAGAGAGAGAGGTCGATGACGGTGAGGGTGAGGTCGGGAGAGAGACGATAGAGGTAGAGGGTGAGAGAGAGGCGGCGACTGAAACTGAGAGTGAGAGGGAGGTCGATTGAATTTGAGAGAAAGGTAAAGGCGCTAGGTTTAGTTGTGGTTGTGATCTAGTGCGAGCATCCTCAAGGTAAACTCTTCTTTTACCCAATAAACAGAGGCCGCGTGGTATATTTATATATTATTAATTAATGCTCGGTTCGGGTCAGGTTCACCGGTTCCAAATATTTTTTAACCGAAGACCGAACCGTTGACTTGATGATATATCAACAATGTCAGCCATGGAAACATACCTGCAACAAGAGAGAAAGATAGTTGTATTGTAAATATAAAAAATATCGAAACAAATGAATAAATATCATAAGTATACATCAAGTGAGTTTGATAAGACACATTTGGTACCATTAACATGGAAATCAAAACAAACCCAATAAACCAACATGCCAATCCTACCAAAAAAGAAAAATCCAAAACCTTCCTAGCATCATTTTACAAACCGAACAATGGGTCAAGCAAAAACAAGTTGGGGCCATTAACATGAAAACTAAAACAAACCAATCAAACCCACATTCCAATTCCACCAAAATTCAACACCTTTACCCCAAATAGACCAACAAAATGAGAAACGGAGGAAACCGATATACCTCCCACTCCGAATGAGCTCAACTATGATCCCAGACCGAAATTCAGATCTCATTGGCACTTAAAACCCCAAACTTGGGGCAACTACCGAGAGCAACAGCATGGTGATCGAGAACCGGAGGGACAACCAAGGTCCGGTTCAAAATGGCGGCCATCAAAACGGCGTTCTTGAACTCGGAAAGCTGGTTGCTGAAGCCACTGTGGGGAGCGTACCAGAGGAACTTTCCTCCTACAAGGGAGGGGCATTTCGGGGAATCGGAAATTGAGGTCTTGTTAGAGAGGAGAGAATTGGGAGTGTGAGAGAGAAGTCGGAGAAGAAGAAGAGGGGAAAAGAGGAGAGTGAGGTAAATGAGTGGGTACCTGTACAGAGAGAGGAAAGCCAAAAATACCAGAAAATCACAAGACTCTGGGATTTACCTCAGACTCTCATGATATACACACTAATATAGCGTTATGATTTTCTGGTTTTTTGTTCCTACCAAAAAATCAGAAAATCACAGAGATATGAAAGAACACAAGTGCTCAATTTCTGAAAAGGTTCTCCCCCTCTCCTCCCCTCCCCCGCCCCCTAACTCTTGATTATAGATAGCCATGCGAATTTACCTCAGATTCTCATGATATATACACTAATATAGCATTATGATTTTCTGGTTTTTTGTTCCTTACAGAAAATCAGAAAATCACAAAGATATGAAAGAACACAAGTGCTCAATAACTGAAAACCCAAAGATTTGGGACCAAAAGCGATTAGCGGTGCCCAATTCAATTTCTGAATAGTAGTCGCATCAAAAAGAAAAAGTAACTAAAAGATAAACTGTGTCTCGGTCTTGAAATTGAAAGAGAAATTGCCATGATCTACAGATCCATACCTCAAATGTGCTTCGGTATTGAAAGCAGTGCTGTTGGTGTGGCTTAAGATTGGATACTTCGGTATTTTGAAGGCAATGCTGTTGGTGTGGCTTATATACTAGGGCTAGGGGTCATCATTAGGCCTACCCATGGGCAGATGGGGGCCTGCCCGGCCCATCGAGAAAAAGCCCTGTCATGTGTGGGTTACGAAACTTCAAGTGGCTACGAAACTTTTTATCTAATTTGATGTCGTGTGAATTGGTCTATTAGTTTGTTAGAATAAACGGGACATGGTGCGAGTTATAAAATGGACGAAGTGTCGAGGTGCGTTGGTCACGGTAACCTTAGATGATGGAGATGAAAGACTACTTTCTGCAGCTTTGGGAATGCTTGCTGAATAGCTGTTATCTGAAGAGTAATCTGCCAGTATCCGGGATGAGGCCAGATTTAAAATAAACATATAACCAAGATTTAAAATTGTTATCTTTAGTTTTTTTTTCTTTTTTTTTTTGGGGTCTGAAAACTCATTTTCCTATCGCGAATTAAATGCAAAACAAGGCTTATCTACAAAGGCAACTTGCAGAAGCATGTATTTAGAAAAGAAAAATATAACTGTGTGCCTCAGTAATATTTGCCACATTATTTTTACTAAAACGGGACAAACTAAATGTTTTTAAAAAAAAAACTTGACTATAGTTTGAGAGAGCTTTAGAGAGAGAGGCTCCTCCTTCTCTCTAGAACTTCTCTCCTTTTCCACCACCCTCTTCTGAGCAGCTGATGGCTGTGCCGCCGCCCTTCGGGGCGACTCCTCCGCCACCTTTGGTGTGGCTTCTCTGCCACCCTTTGGTGTGGCTTTCCTTTTCCTTTTTTTCAGTTTGCTTTGGATTGGCCTTCCTCGTATGTTTTTCCATTTGTAAGCCCAGATCTCCTCCACATCCCCTCCATCACTACTCTTCAGCCATTTCACCTCTCTCACCCTTTTCCCCTTTCATACACTCACCTCCCATCAGTCCATTTCTCTCCCCCTCCTAGGAAAACTCAAACCCTAAAATCCTCCTCTCTCCCTAGAATTTTCTTGGTTGTCTACTTGTTTGCTGCTGCTGCTGTTTCTCCCCTACTAACCAACCTCAGATATGAGATCATGTTATGGAGGTGTTGGCTTTGCAGTTTAATGGTCCATTTGGACCCATACCTGCTACTGGATCGCTTGAGCATGATGCATGTTGGTGGCTTGCTTCCCCAACTCCACACTCTACAGATCCCCTTTGTTGGTTCCCCTGAACCTTCTTGTTCTTCTGGCTACAACGGTGGTGGCAGATTAGGTGGTGGCGGTTGCTTGGTGTATCTAGGGTTTGATTCTAGGGTTTTTGTATTTGGGGGTTTTTTTGGTTATTTTGGGCTTTTTTGTATTTTGGATTGGGCTTGTATTTTGTTTGGTTGAGCCCTTGTTTTATGTTTCTGACTTTTGTAACACTATATGGTAATGACATGTTCATTTCCTTGACCAAAAAAAAAAAAAAAAAGAGGGACAAACTACTTCCGATATATGGAAAAACCATTTTTCATAATAAGAAATTATTGCATAGTACTAGAATAATGTCATGTGGTATAACTCATTCACGTGTTATAATATAGGTGAAAGATAGTATTTTTCCACTTTTATATATATATGGTATAGTATCAATAGAAATCTATTTATATTTCTCACTAACCATACAAAATTACCGCTATGTAAATTTGTAAAGAATAATGCTACTCTTACCACATTCCCATACCACCTTATGCGGCAGATGAGATGTACAACCACATCAATTAAAACTAATTTAGCATTTTCTTTTCTTTTATGATTTATTGACACTTTTTAATTGATGTGGTTGTACACCTTATCTGCCACATAAGGTGGTATGAGAATGTGGTATATATACAAATGGTAAAAGTAGTATTTTTGTAAAATCGCTCAAAAATACGTGTCAAATCTTGAAGATTTATTTATTTTTCAATTATCAACCTTGGGGGTGTTAATAATTAAGCTTAAATGAGAAGAAAATCTTGACTAATGAATGCATAATTGGTATAGAATGGCCAGCAAAGTCCACACCGACGTGGATGTTTGAGGCTTAGGTTTCAAAACCTAGCTGGTCACGTACGTATCTTCTAACAAAAAAACAAAGGCACATCTTGTTGAAGGGCTCGAGTGTGATTGGAGACTGATGGTGGTAATTTGGCCTCCTGGGTTTGGCTTTTGTTCAAATAAGTCTAGCCAAAATCTCTAATAGCTGTCGGCTTTCTATTGGCTTCAACTAAGGTCTTTGAAGCCAAACAAAGTTTTATCAGGATCAAAATCAAGTGTCCAAGTAGAAGCCCACACATGCAACTAATGCCTTGAAAGAACACTATACTAACAAGAATTTTACGTGGCAACTTACTGATGCGTTCCACCAAAGTTATTCTTCAATGTACGGTAATCAAAATAAATTGGCAAATTCATTTAACAAAGAGCTAGCATAACCATAATAATGAGCTTGAGATAGTGTTAATTATTCATACCAATCCCGGTAGCAACTAATGCACATTAAGGACGACCTAGGTTATTCATGCAATTATTTAACCAAGTTATTCTTAAATGTACGGTAACAAACAATTATTTTTGGGGACTAGGTTGTTAATGCACATGGCATGGCAACAGTTTGGCAAAACCATTTGGGTACAAGGCTCCAAGCAGATGCCACACTCATTCTCTCTCCAAGTCTACATCTGAAAGCTTTATCTTATCCTCATACCTCTTCCTAACAACCATCTCTAGAACTTCCTCTTGGGTGATATCCATCTCCAATGAATCACCACGAAGAAGCTGGATGGTAATATAACATCTGCAGTTTTAGGTTGGGAAGACATGAAAAAAGATGAATTTCACAAACGCAGCAGCATGTAAAATTATGCAAAGTTTGATCCCATTTAAAGATTAAAAGCAGAAAGCCTACACCCCCCAAATGCAATGCTTTATGAAAATTGGAAAGCAGCAGGCAAAATGAGATCCATTTAAAGAAGGGAAGCTGTTAAGTATTTTAAGCATCAATATTGTTCAAGTAGCATCTTCAACAGATATTAAACTACCAAAGTGTCACGGGATGACTTTTTCAAAGTCTTCCTTCCGTGCGGCCTTAGACTTGATCGCCTCTCGAACAAGCTAAGTCAGCCTCCCTTCCTACAAAATAAGATCGAACCAAGCAAGAACACGAAGCAAGAGCAAGAACAATAAGAACGCACAAGAGAGTTTGGGAGAATATATGCTTGTATTGCTACTCAATGCTTTACAAGTTGTGAGGTGAGGATACACAATGAGACATCCTCCTTATATAGAGATCATATCCCACTTACCACCACAATAGAGGGCTAAGATACATTGTCACCAACCGAAGTCTACCTACTATTGTCACCAACCGTAGTATACCTGCTACTGTACATTGAATCTAGACATGTGGGCTAAGAGGTCTAGCATGATCCATATAACGGGTTGGGCCTTGAGCTTCTCTTGTGGGGCTTGACCTTCACAAATGGATCCTCTAGGTTGGCCCCATAGTTATTGGGTTGAGCCTTCAACATGCGGGCTATGACATTCTCCCCCACCTAATCCGGTGACGTCCTCGTCGCCGAGGTAGTTCCTTCTTGTTCGAATGTTTCGATCTTGTCCTTGTACTGCCATAAGGACTCTTCTTTCTCCCAATTGCCTTCGGACTCTGGCAGGCCCTTCCATTTGACAAAGTACTCAAAGTATCTCGGTACACCTTTGCGTCGCACCTCACGCTTGGCCATGATGCACTCGACCTCCCTGTCAAATGAAGTCACCATTAAGGGTGGAGCTCGTTGAGACTCCCCACGACTTGGCTCCTCAGGGTCAGCATGGTAGGGCTTGAGATTGCTCACGTGAAACACCGGATGAATCTTCAATCGTGGCGGTAGTTCCACACGGTAAGCAGCTCTTCCCACAGTTCGGAGGATAAGAAATGGGCCCTCATATCTCCTCAACAACACCTTGTGCACCTTTCTAGTGGACTTGAGTTGAGAGGGGTTGAGCTTCACAAAGACCATGTCACCTGGTTGGAATACAACATCTCGCCGGTGCTTATCCGCCCATTTCTTCATCTTCCTGGTTGCCTTCTCCAATTGAGCTCGAGCCAGCTCATTAGTCACATGCCAATCTTTGGCCGTATTGTATGCAGCAGGGCTACTCCCGGTGTAGCATGACACCACTGTGTTCGGTGTCATAGGTTGTTGTCTAGTTGCCAACTCAAAATGTCTTGACCCTATCGACTCCGATCACTGCAAGTTGTACGAGAACTGAGCAACATCCAACAACTTTGCCCAATCTCATCTGGTTGGAACAGGAAGTGGCTCTAGCAACCCCCTTGGCTACTTCTGCAAGGTCTTGTCTTGTTGGCATACAAGACAAGTCTGCACGAACAAGTCTACATCTTCCCTCTCTTGAACGGTATGCCTCCGCTCGGTGTCATTGAGCTTTCAGCTCTTGAAAGCCAATGGGTGTCCATCCTGCATGAGTACACCACCAATAGCAAAATCTGATGCATCAGTGTGTACCTCAAAAGGTTTGCTAAGATCAGAAGGTCTCAGCACTGGTTCCTCCTCAATGGCATGATCCACCTCTCTCTTAGGTGGTAAGGTGTTGGGCAACTCCTTGGGCATGACATCTGCAAACTCCTTAAGGACTGCTTCCACTACTTTTGGGACTGGTTGGACTTCCTTCTCAACTATATCCCTCTTCATAGTTGCAAGGAACGTCGGTTCGCCCTTCTTCCAATACTTGGAAAATTGCATGGCTAACAAAAGCTTCGACTTGCCTTGTTGCCTCACCACTGGCACCATGCATGACATTGCTCCACCCTGTGCAATGCACATAGTATTGTAAAACAGAATGGGAAATGCATTTACCTTGTCCATGAACTCCATTCCTAGCACGACATCGTAGTCATCCATCGAGATCACGGAGAAGTCAACTACTCCCTTCCAAGTAGCGATGTGTAGCTCCACACCATGAGCTACTCCATCAATTGGTTTGGCAGTTGAATTCACCGTCTTCATAC